TACAAGCAGTCAACATTAAAATCAATTTCCACAGGCTCTTCCTTTCACTCATTATATTGTTTATACCTCTTGCCAATCGCACCTAAGCCCCATTTCACTGGTCTCAAGCTGAACGTGTATACACAGCATGTACACATACACGTACAAACACACATGGGTCCTGTAGCCTTTCCCATAACCAATTTCGAATCCTATTTCTGTGCCCTTCTCCACAGTGATTTTTCTGGCTCAGAGATGTGAACATCCGCTTGAATAAATATTAATGGTTATTCTATGAGCAGTGCCCACTCACAAGTGTGCTGGAAGAACAAAAGGCCTTGTTTACAAGTGCGCTTGAGGAAAGCTAAGGCATGGAGGGCCTCCGAGGGCGGCTCTGTGGCACTGTCGACTCACAATGGAGTGCTGATTGAAACGCACTCTTAACTTCCAGCGTACAGCGGTGGTGAAGACGGTGAAAATCCTCAACATGACGGATTTCTATTCAACCTCAGCGAGGACGGAGCTGGAGAAATCAAGCTTATGAACTTGCAGCCTCTACTTAAACTCATTTAAGACAGAGCTGAGAGGTAATTAGGTTTCTGGGAACAATAAGCACTCAGCACCTTGTGTAGCTCCAGCCTCGCTCCAGACATTTCCTTTGGTGTAATTAGGAGAGGTGTGAATTCCTCATCAGATGGATCACCATCTGCATTCGCACACTGTGTGTTCATTCCCCCAGTCCCAAGCCACGAGTATACGTTCGTGCTGATTATCATGCAGGAGGTAGAGATGGGGTGGGGATGGAGGAAAGGCCTTCTCTTTTTAAAGGTGCTTTCAGTGCTATGGGGCTCCAGCGCCTTGCCACGCAAAGGTTAATCAATTCTGAATGATGAGCCATAAAAGCTTTAATAATGCAGTCATTCTCTAATGAGTGGTCCTGCATGCTCGCTCAGGAAGGACCGATTGTTTTAGGAAGCTCCGACGTTCCAATTACAAAGCGCTCAAGCATTTCCTAACAGCCCAGCGAGCGCTGGACACAGTGAGGGTCCAGTGAGCAGGACAATGAGCCCTGCAGTGTGGAGCTAATGTCTGCTCAAGGAGGGAAGAGAGAGAGAGAGCCATCACATGGCCATCAATATCAACCTAATGCCAACTATTGACTTGCACTCCAGCTGAAACCTACAGAGTTTTGACTGTAGTTCCACCTTTCTCAGATCTCAGAAACTGGCTCTGAAACCAGCTTTGCTTTACAGCAAATGACAGCTTTAAAAACGTCACAGAGTACATAATGATGGATGGATGAATCAACAAAGTGTCTGATAGTGACATTAGACACTGCTGTTAATGTCCCTTTTGCGACTAAAAGTTAACCTTTTTCTTTTAACCAACTTTCTCCAACCTTAACCAAATAGTTCTTCTATGAACATAAAAGTTCCTTAACCTTACAAAGCATGATCTTTCTCTAACTCTAATCAAGAGAAAGGTCATTCTTGAACTTGGAAACAGCACCATCATCTCTTATGTTGTGACTAATGTTCCATACTAGGGTCATGTGATGACAGCAAACCATCTTCATGAGAACTGAATGAGATTTGGGATGCAGTGTAAAGGCTCTAAAAAAAACCCCTAAGTCGACCTTGAGTTAAGATTATTTTGTCAAACCTAACCAAGTTCTTGTGCCTAAACTGGCCAAGAAAGAATCATAAGGTAAAGTCAATTAGGCCCTGTTTACACCTGGTATTAACATGTGTCTGGGGTGACCCGATCAGACAGCTGACAGTCTGTCTGTCCACACCTGGAGTTTGAATGCGTCCCTTCATGTGATCGGATCTCAGTTCACCGCGCTATTGCTAAGACCATATGCTTTGTCTTGGCTGTCAGGAGGCTGCAGTTCACTTCCTGTGCCCAGTGTGCCAGAAATTAAAGGAAGGAGAACCACCTTTGAATATGGTCTGTGCAATCAGATCTCAAGACACATTGAGAACACATTGGGTGCATTCTAGGGCTGAACTGATACCTTTACAATATCAACCTAGGCTATGTGTCAGCCCTGTGACAGTCTGGCGACCTGTCCAGGGTGTACTTCACCTCTGGCCCAATGTCAGCTGAGACAGGCTCCAGTCCCCCACGACCACTAACAGGATAAGCACTTACAGATAATAAATGATTGTTTGCCTCCATTCACATGATGGGTTTCAAATGAAGTGACTGCCCTGGTAATGGTACCAGTATTGTAATTTTTTCCACTTGTGATCCAATCACTCAAGACGCATGTTAATAACAGGTGTAAATTGGGCCTTAGAAATGAGGTTTTAGATTACTCGTTGCCAGTGTGATGGAATCCCTTTGATTTAAGTCCATATTTCTTAAACAAATCTCTCTGAAGGTAATGTTTCTGTCACTCTGGCGTACTAGCCGGAAAACATTCATGCAGGGCCACTGAGCAAATACTGACCTCTTATCAGGTATCTCATATCACTCAGTTATGCCATGCATGAAACAATCATAATAAACCTGTGCGGCCATTCTTCTGCACATTTGATTTATTCTTTTCACTGCCATCTTCTGTAATTTCAGCCTTCATTTGAAGGTATTATTCTGTCCCAGAGCTGTCCTACCATTGAACAGATGGAGTGGGCTGCCCTGCCTTGAAGAGCTACTAACCCAGAAGGAATTTGATTAGTCTGGGTTTCAAAGAGTTTTACTATAATATATACCAAATAGGGTTTAGTTTTAGAGACTAGTCCCCCCTAATACCCTAAAAATACTTGGGCAAAATAAAGGCATTCTGTATGTTTTGGAATGGAAATGATCACTTACAGATATTGACTGGCACGAACTAATCACAAATCAAAATTTAATGGATTTAATCAACAAAATTATCAGCAACCTGATCCACGCTGCCCAATTACACTGATTATAGTGTTATAGCATTTTAAATGGCACCATTTACTCAAAATAATAAACATGACACTAACTTGGCCGAGCATGCCACTCTCTTCCACAATAGCTAATGGCTAAATATTCCGCCGGGTTAACTGAGTAATTGTCTGTTGTCAACATGCCACGTATAATTATGAGTGACTCTAAAAGAGCATGTGCTAATTGTTTTTTCCTGGCTTTTTCCTGCAGGTTGTCCTCCTTCCGCCATCCTCGTGTCCTTGGCCAGGCAACCCCTCGGCACCTTCCAGCGCGTGTCTCTGTCACGAATCAAGCGTCACGAAATACATCATCCCCAACACTACACCCCACACACATCCATTCAACTAAATGCCTCTTTCTTTCTATCTCTGTCACGGTACAAACATCTTGTGAACTGACATTTACTGTGTGATAGGCTGTTTTTGAGCAGCTTTACCTCACATTTAAGTGACAACATGGATGTGAATGATGATGTGAAAGACAGCAGGACATGACTGGCCATCACCCGGCAGAGAGACAGAGGTTATACATCCAGCTAAAGCTTTAGTTCTTTCTTTGCAGCCTTCTTTTAATCACCATAGTCAGAACACTCTTTTGGGCCAACTGTGTTTCATGGATGCTCAAGCATGAAAGAGGAATCTTGTTGGGTGGATCCATAGAAATAATGAATAAAAAAGGCTTTAGAGTTTGTCACCGCAAAATACAGCATTTTAATTATGGTAGATTCCCTAGAGACGGAGCTGCAAATACAGCACTGGCTCTTTAGGCACCAGTGGGAGTCTGCATCATTGCTAAGCTAATAATGTTGGCCACTGTAGTGCTGATATACACATTAAATTAATCTGGGTAATATGCATGCTGGATATATTATGGATAATATCAGACTACGGTCATTAATGCTAATGGGGAATCATTACCGTAGTTTGCATATGAGAGGTTTTCAAAATTAAACTGTCAATCGGCTAATGCCTAATGCTCTCTCAGCTGGAGCAAAGGGTGAAGTGTGCATAGCCTGGTGTGAGCCAAACATTTCCAACTTTAGCCTTACAGAAATTGTTCATTAAACATTTTGGGAAATGTGATCTACAGTATTTAGTTTCTGTCTTTGAGTCAGACAAAAAGATCTATATCAATCTCATGTCTGTGTAAATGAACTGAAGTCAGGATGTGGTTAGCCTAGCTTAGCAGCTATCATTTCTAAAAATCACTATTTGTACCTTGTAAGTTTGATTAATTATCAAAAAGCTGGTAGATAATAACCTTAAGTTCATAAAATGTTCCCGAATTTATGAATATGTAGCATGGTACCACAGACTTTCCTGCAAATTGTACGTGGCAATGTCTGCTGTCACAAGTTAACAGGGAAATCATTGTTGCTTTGAGCTAATCTGACCAGCTAGAAGCTAGTTGGTACGCCTCTTGTGGTTGACTAGCCTGGTCAAGTAGCCTTTTAGCCATGGCAGTGTTGGTTAAAATATGACATCATTAGACAGAATAAAAAATGAATATTGGGGAAAAAAAAGCTAAATGTTTGCAGTATGTCAAACCAGGCCAAAATTTTGTTAATCGACCCAAGATCTTTTTTTTTTTTTTTTTTTTTTTTTTTTTTTTACCAACAATCCATCTTGAAGCTGCCTAGTGGGTGGAAATTCACCCAATCTGGCAACATGTCTCGGCCGTAAAATTTTCCACCCCAGATCCATTTATTTTTGGCATGCCATGTAAACCAATGAGGAGCCACCAGGGAAATCTAAACATATGACACACATACAAAAGTATGTCCCTCAGCACACAGACAAAGACATAGACAGGACTTTATCCCTAGCCATTGCACCGTTCTGTAATAATTCCTGTAAGAAATTTCAACACACACACACACACACACACACACACACACACACACAACACAACAAAACACACAACATGCATTTTACAATTTGAATTGCAGGAGGAGTGGTGCCCAAAAGCCCTTAATGGACCACAATCCACTGACCGGTTCCCAGCTCAGTAACTGAATTGTCGATTTTATGTTTCTGTTTGTTTATGGGTTAAATAAACAAGATACAATGTGCTCATTAGTTTGATATAAGAGTCCTTACCTGCTTGACCGGTAGCGATGCTAACTGCTGCAAACAGCCTCTGGGTGCGGCTCAGGTCTGACACCCCGTTGACAGCCTCCACCTCAAAAGTGTAGTTGGCGTGGGCGAGCAGGTCCATTATGGTCACATATGTGTCCACTAATCCTGACTGTGCGGGAGAGAATCCCACATTCGGCCCACATGGAACACACTCCTCGGGTTCCCAGCTGCAGCGACGGCATATAACCCTGTAGGTGACGTCGTTGCGCCCGCCCGTGTCGGCCGGCGGGCTCCACTCCAGGCTAACAGTGGTCTGGTTGATGTTGTAGACCAGGTTCTGTGGCGCGGAGGGAGGTCCTGTCAGGGGTGGACACGGAGGAAGCCAGAATTAAATAACTGAGTGCCAAGGAAAGTGACAGCCAAGAGTGTGCATTGACTGAATCTGTGCTTTCACTGTTCTCTCAGAAAAAAAAAAAAAACACTACAAGACCTACAGGACATGCCAGCTCCAGCCCTAGAGCCAAACACTGACACTCAATTATAATAAGACTCAGATCCAGTAGAAAAAAGAAAAAGAAAAAGTACAGGTACACTGAAAAGAAGTCAGCTCTAGCAGGCACCAAGGTCAGTGTTAGAAGGCTGTGAAATCAAGAAGTGGAGCCAGACTTTCAAAGGGAGAATAATTTCATAGAAGACTTCATGCAAAACAGTTTTTATGTCACAATTTTTTATGAATTGTCATTACTGGGACTGCGCACCCATTTAACATACTCAACCTCTGTTTCCCCTCATCACTCCATCCTCCTTAACACTGTAAAATCTCCTAATTAAATTGATTAGGAGATTTCACAGTGTAAAGGCTTTTTCAGTTTAAGGTCAGGTCTACTTAAAATGTCTAGTTATCACATTCAGGAACATTTTAAAACATATTATTAATTGTGTGCCTTGTAACCTTGTAGCCTTGTAAAATTGGTGAGTGGACTAAATGTTGCATTGATTGTTTGCTTAATGGGACTTAATGTGAAATTCAGAGCTAATGAGTTGTCTGCACACAGTTTACAACATGGAGGTGACCGAGCTGGCAGCTAGTTGCTAACGGTGCTAGCTCTATAAACAGTGCTAAACAGTGGCAACAGTGCTGACTGTTACTCAGGGGTAACTGGAAGGGTGGACGCTATGCCTCCACAACGCAAATGTCCCAATATTAGCCGTAACCACCATACGCAGTGCAAAGCGGCGGCGGTGAGCTCGCCAGTGGGATACACACAGCAGTGGCCTGACTTACGGCTGGGCTCCACCGGGCACGTCAGCGGCGCGACATGTCTGCAGCGTGAGTCCCGTAGCAGCTCGCCCCCCTGTTAATCAATTACAGTGTCTCCACCGGCAACGGGAGCGGTGCGACAACCCCCGTCTGTTGCGCGACAACTCTCTATTTTACGCGGCTCTTCTATTTTTGTCGCGCTACGCTCCCCTACGCGACCCTCCAGCAGATAAAAACTACATGAAATAGTGTGCTAAACGAGCACAATGTGTTTTTAAATGAATAAACCATTATCAGAGGTGATATGTGATGATTTTTTTTCATACATTTACCCATGTTTATCCGTGACATTGTGTAAATGTCTGTGGCGGACATTTGAAAGCGAGTAGATGACATACAGTGCAGTAACCTTGTAGATAACTCAAATATATGTAATAACTTAGATGCAAAATGCTTTAACATTTCATGCAGCCTACTTGCAGCCTCTCGGCTCGGCAAACAGTAAACAACCCCGCTGGCTTCTCTACGTGTCGCTTCCGTACGCAGTCAGTGGAGCCCAAATGAATACGCCGCGACGCTACCCTGACGTGACGCTTACTTTTGCAGCCGGTGGAACCCGGCCGTTAGTTCTCTGCTCAGGATGCAATTACTGCCCTATATCTTTACATGGAAAAAACTGGTTTCCTGCTATATTTTGCTCTGAATGTAGCATACAGCTACTTCAACTCATAAAATGATGTTGTTACAAAGAACTGTTAGCTTATTAGCATCCAAACATGTACTGTATTTGGCTTAAAATTGTCCTTCTTTGTTCTTTTGTGATTTGGTATATTATTTTATGTATCAGTGCATTTCAACAATAACATTTGTAAGTATGCATAAGCACTGCTTCTGATTTCATTTAGCTGTAAGGACAGAAAAAGCTGTGATACTGAGGCAGTGTGATGTTTAGGGATCTGTCTTGAAGGTGCTTTACATAGAAAATTAAGCTTTACAAACAAGTCTTGTGGTGGCAGAACCTCATATAGGCAACATAGGCAGCCACATAAAGTGCTGGGGGAAAAAATCAACATAAGGAAAATTGTGAAATTGGACTTTAAGTGGAGAGCATTTGAGTAAAAGAAAATGAAAAAGCAAGCCATCCAGCGCACAGTACAAAACGAAGAAGATGGAATTTGCACATTTCATTTTGTCTTATTGTTTGTTAGGTGTGGCACTGAACTGAATAATTTAATTTATCAGTTATAGCTGACCTCAGTTTCCTAAGTTTCTAACTAATATTTGCAAATTCAGTTAAATTAAGTTCAGTCAAATCAAACAAATTAGTCAGTGTTTGTTTGGTAAACTCTAAATTTCAAAGTTACTTCAATCTCTACTTTCAGGCCCTTGGGGACAAAACTATTGTCTGTTTACACATTCAGGAACATGGCACAGACATGGCAATAAATTAGCTTTAATTTGTAGTTACGTTCTGTGCCAAGTCCAATATTCATTCTCCTGCAAGATTTGTTTTGGCCTCCACCCACTTTTGAAAAAAATATCTGTCTCTTTAGCTGCTACATGTGCCACTATGCTCACTCGCTAGTTTCTAACTTTGTCTGCTGTTTGGTGCCAGGCAGTTGCTGTAGAGTGAGTTCAAAGGCTGCCTGTTGCTGCTGGAAATGAGGTTGTTGAGAGCAGTGAGAGTGAAAGTTGCTGCCTGTAAAACCACAACAATTAGCTAAAAGATGCTAAAAAGCTCCACAGAGCTGAGAGCGTGCAGCCTGGCTCCTCATATTTTTAATTCTGAATCGACCTGACCTTTTTTTACAGTGTTCTCATGCATGCAAACATAGCTGCTGATTCATCCAGATGGACCTAGGGTTTTGTTTACATACCGATTGTTAACAGCATAAAATCTGCAGCTGCTATGAAAATGATTGAAACGTGGTTACACGTGGAATCATAGGCCAGAGACAGTCGCTTCCTGTTCTCCGAAAATATACAACCATCCCAGCTGGAGATGGTGGCTTTACTGGGCTGCCTTAGAGAGGTATATCATACAGACAGCAGGACACTTAAAGTTAATGTCCTCCAAAAAAAGACTCGCCCACTGAATTTATGAACAAGATTTAAACCTGGATTATCACAGCCCTGTAACTGCCATATACAGTTTCACTTGACACACAATAACAACGAGCTCCATGCATCAAAAGTGCACGGGACCACAGACCATTTGGCTGTAAATGTTCGCGTAATGGCAAAGAGATTAGCTCATCTCATAAAACAATGAATAACAAATTGCTGCTTTCATCTTTCAAATTCCAGGCTGTTGGCTTTTACGGCCCAGATGTTGATACAAATAAACTCCCCCTAACGCAGTAAAGATTATATGACTTGTATTCTTTGTTTATGAATGCTTTAAGAACATCTTCATTTTGTTTCTCTGGGAGACTTAAAGTGTTGTGTTTTCTCAGGAAAATGTTCTTTGAGGGAATCTTGGGGAGGAACCTCTCATCTCATTAAATTTGTCACATTAACTAGCAAAATAGGTCATGCATATGCATAATGCTAAAACTGCTATCACAATATTCGGGCTCATTAATACGGTACTTTGGTTGTTTTCCCTGTTCCAGCCATTAGAACCGAGGGCTCAACGGAGACATCCATATTCATGATTATCGGGTAAGATAAGAGACAGACTGTGGACTGGGAAGATGAAAGAGCCACCTGTGGCAGGTGAAGTGGAGAGGAGTGACTGCTGATAGCGCCACTCGACTTCAGCCTTGGCATTGACACTCGACCCGTGCTCTCAATCTTCCTCGCAGACAAAGAGTAGGTGTGCCACATCCCATACACACTTAGATGCCCACATGCGCACACACACACCTACGCCTCCCAGTCGGAGTCTTTTATTCTAGCATTTCCATGGCCATGTAAGCGATGATAACATCTCATTTCTGCTCGTGCCACTCTCATTCAGGTCTCAGGTGCCACAGATCAAAGCTATGATTTCTCAGGAACAAGAGGCGAAAGGAAATTAGATTAGAGTGACCCTGGATCTGCGACCTTTGTCTTTTGTGTTGTTTTTACCCAGCAAACTTTACCTTTCTTCCTCTAAAGGCCTCAGTATGCTTCAAACAGGAAGCTCGTCTGATTATCTTATATCTGAAACTCACTCTGGGGTGGCAAAATTACCGCTGGGTTCCACAAGTTTTGTACCTTTTTCGTAACAATCCAATCCCTGCAGAGTTGTAAAAGTGGGCAGGGTTTGAACTTCTCTCTCCAGCTCTCTTTATTGTCCTCTTTCATATGCTTTCGAGGAGAGACTGTGTAAAAGTGTACAAATTTGTCGAGTCAAGACTACAATGTTTTAATACTTAGAATTTTTGGAGAGTGAAAGTGGGGGTGGGACACTGCTATCAGGATGAACCATTTGCCCAGCCTTCAAGTGTGGCCACCTGTAATAGGGCTGTGTATTTGCAAGAATCTGGCTATATGATACGTATCACTCAAGTGGCAACCTCTGGGGATGAAAAATAAACCCAAAGCAGAAGTGCCAGAAACTCCAATTTCTCAAATGGCTGCTTGAGGCTGGCTCCAAAAGCAGGTCAATCTCCACACACATGTTAAAATGTCCAGCTTTACAGCAGAGATAAACATGTTTGCAAAAAAATTTTTGGTCTCTGGAGCTGATTTCTCCGTGCATGACAACTGCGTCTGGTTGAATTTTTATATAACTCATTATTTCACATTTTATTAAGGCTTAGAATTATGCACATAGTGCAGAACTCAAGACTTCAAACCATTAATTCACAAACCAATGGGTGACATCACAGTGGCTATGTCGACTATTTTTATACAGTCTATGAAGTCAGTATACAGGGGATATGAATCAATATATTGCCACTGCATATACTGCCATACTGTAAGCAAGGTGATATACTGTGACTTTTTTTTAATCTAAGTTTGGGAAAACTGTCATACTATAAAGAACATACCACCCTATGCATAAAATAGAATTACTGCCTTGCAGTTGCATGCCTCTGCAAACCCGTCAAGTTGAACTTACAGTTTACATCTATATCTGCGCACAGAAGATCTATACAATCAGCAA